TCCTGCACACCCCCCTGGGGATGTCTGCAACCAAGGTACATGCCCTTGACCGGAATCAAACCTGGGACCCTTCAGTCCGCAGGCCAATGCTCTCTATCCAATGAGCCAAACCAACAAGGGTGCCTTCAACTTTTTGAAGGATTTGGTCATATGTGTAAATTACCAGGAAATTAATACTGCTCCCCAAAATGACAGGTGATATTTAAAGTATTATTGATTCTAAGTAAGCATTTGTAATATATGTTTTGAAGGAAAAAATACTAATGTTTACCAACATTTATGCATGGTTTTAATTCATGGACATTCTTTACGGTATGTAGCTCTAGAAAGAATTATAAAGTGTTTCATTTTATGATCTCAGTTTCTGATGAAATATTTATATTTCATGAGTCTTAATGAAGGCTTTTGAATTTTGAATAATAAACTTTCATAAATATTCATTGAAATAAAATAAACACATGTCTTATATGGAAAATTTAATTAACTAAAAGTTAAAACAAACTCTTTAGAGTATTCTCATTAGATATGAAAGAGTGGATTCTGTTATATTTACTTTAAACCCACTATAGGCTATATCTCATTAAATAATATCAGTGAATTTACAGTCATAGTATGTGCTAATAGCATAAGCACTGCTAATTTTGCAAAATTTTAAATAAAATCTGAAATCAAATATATCATAGTGTAGGACGCTTCACAAAAGGTCTACATTCGCCAGAAAAAGCTGCTACAAAGGCGAACTATATGTTAATGATCAAGGGGAGTTAGTTTTAATGAAGTTCGCTGAAGAAAGCCCTTCACATCCTCTGCTACTATTATATACTCCAGTAACCCAGCTCCAGTAGACTTATTCCCCCGGGGATCTGCTGAAAAGGCTGCAAATGGTTCATGATCTTACACAGATGCCTAATGTACAACAAGAGACTAATTTTAAAGTAAAAGGAAACCATTAATTGGATTACACTGGTAACAAGTGGTATGATGTGTCATGTTTTTCAAGTGCACACAAGAATTTAAAGATCCCTATATATAATATTTTGGAGAATGCTTACATTTTAAAGGCCCTGTTTGCAAAACATAAAATCAAGACTTCAAGGAGATGCATGACATCTTACTTACCTCAGCACATTTAGACAAAATCCGGACCTAAATGGATGGCTCCTGAATGTCATTACCAACAGATGCAAGTGAAAAGTATGCATGTGGAAAATAAATACAAGGAAATCTGTAGCCCTAGCTGGTTTGGTTCAGTGGATAGAGCGTCAGCCTGCAGACTGAAGGGCCCCAGGTTCGATTCTGGTCAAGGGCACATGCCTAGGTTGCAGGCTTGATCCCCAGCAGTGGGTGTGCAGGAGGCAGCCAATCAATGATTGATGTTTATCTCTCTCTTTCTCTCTCCATTCCTCTCTGAAATTAAAAAAAAAAAATCTTTAAAAAATTTAAAATAAAATAAATCTGTTTTGTGTGATTAACTCAAACTCATGTATACCTTGGGACCTTTGTTATCCAATTTTCAATTCAGAAATATGGATTACGTTTAGTTTTAATTCTGTGAAATAAAGTCTTATTAAAAAGATTGACAATTTGTGATTAAATGACATAAGATATTAAAATTTGCGATTCTATGATCTATTGTTCAAATTCTGTGTTCACACATTCTTTGGTTGCTCGGCATCCTCATCTGGAATATGTGAGAGATGAGGACAGTGAAAGATTCCCACGTTAATCAATGCCTATGTCATCTTGGAAACCAAGAGGTAAAAGATCAGCTTCTGAAGGTATTTCATCAATCTTACTGAGCATATTAAATGTGCATTTAAACAAAACTGTGTTTTAATTACTGCTTAAATGCATTCAGAATACCAAAGACAAAGATTGAAGAATTTTATCTCCCTTAGCTTGATTTTTTTTACACTTAGCACATTGCTTACAACGGGATATCTAAAAAAAAAAAAAAAAAATTACCTAACTTAGAAAGGTTTTTTCCTCTCTTCACAACAGAAGGGGCCAGAAAAGAAAGACAATGGGTTAATTTCTGTAACAGAGAGCCTTAAAGAACTCTTAACCTCACAAATCATCTTACTTCCAGAACACTCGCCTGATCGGCTCCAGATCACCATCAATCACATTGTCAGGATAAACCATCTAGACAGCTGGGAGAGACTCACTCCAGAACTCGGGGACGCAAAACACTCTGATGGGACAGAACACTCCAGGAGCTCAGCTCCCAGGAGCCAGCCAAGGTGCAGAGATAAACATAGGCCTTCCTGAGAATGTGCCTTTCCCACACAAACACCCTCAAGTGTAAGAAGGGCATAATGATCACTGGCTCAAAAAAAAATCAAGATGAAGATTCAGGTCAGTCCTTCTGATAAAGCACTGGACCAGCAGTGGTGTGAGCCAAGGGTAAGGGAAACAGAAGATGCAGTGAAGGGTGGAGAGGATGGCTATCTGATGTGGCACAAGCCCAGCTGCAGTGGCAGGAATGACACTTCATCTCTCCCACCTTCTTCTTGTAAGTTTCCCATGAAGAGAAACTGACTTGAGTCTCCACAGAAGTTTCCCAAAACAGGATGGACTTACTCTTCAAAGCATTTGATTTTAGTCATTGCAAGGGGTGGACTGTGGGGACCTGACTGTGCTGCCAAGGTTCCCCTTTGGACAAAGGTGCTCATCCCTGACTATGAGGAATGTTCACTCTTAGAAGGTTGTAGCTGATGTCTAAGAACAAAGGTGCTCATCCCTGACTATGAGGAATGCTCACTCTTAAAAGGTTGTAGCTGACGTCTAAGAAATCTGTCAGAAGGGGAAGTAGTTGATTTAAGTGACAATGGCCTGATCCCTTGCCTCCTTTCAGACAACTCAGAGGACGACTTTATTTTCAGAGCAATTTATACAATCCGCTGAGGCAAGCTCATCGCAGTTCAATCTGTCTCCAATTCTTCCCTCACTCTTTTTCTATTTGCCCCTCTCCCCCCACCTCCAGAGAGAAACCTAACAACTATGAAAATGGATCTGTTTCCTAGATAACAGAGAGCCAAGACACCTGCAATCAGATGACCAGATACACTATGAATTTCAGAATAAGATCTTGAGGAATATCAAAATAAGCAACCATTTCATATTTCGACTGAGGATTTATGGGGAAATGGATCTGATTAGATTAAGGGAAAGAAAAATGTTTGGGAGTTTGACCTGACATTTAAAAGCAATCTGAAATTTTTTAAATGAAAATAATTCCATGAATTTTTCTCTATAGGTACTATGGAAGACATGAAGGACAAAATGCATCCATGTTTCCAAACTTTTTCAGAGGTCTCCAAATGGTCATTGATCATTGTCAAAGCCGAAACCAGTTTGGCTCAGTGGATACAGCGTCGGCCTGCGGACTGAAGGGTCTGGGTTCGATTCCGGTCAGGGGCATGTACCTGGGTTGCAGGCACATCCCCAGTGGGAGATGTGCAGAAGGCGGCTGATCGATGTTTCTCTCTCGTCGATGTTTCTGATTCTCTATCCCTCTACCTTCCTCTCTGTAAAAAAATCAATAAAATATATTTTGAAAAAAAGTATCTAACTCAGCAGGCATAAAATTAACAGGCCAGAAAGACTATCATTGACAATTATGAATACTTATCTATGTTTAAAATCATAAAACCAAGAGAAATTTGTAGTGAAATCATTTTGGTTCTAGCATATTTATTACTTTCAATGCATTTGCTTACCTAAATATCTCAGCATTTAAGGAAGAAAATTTATTTGGTGAAATAATTGTTGGGAGTTCCTCACAAGCTCTCCAGACTCTGCCTTGCAGGACCTAGAAAATGTAGGATGTCAACTTCATGAGGAGTTCTGCCAGTTACAATGCTAATATAGATGCATTGCCAAAAGTACGAAAACATTAACAGTAACTTAAAAAATGGCAACTAAGAGACTCCTCAAAGGAGAACCTTCTGAGAAATGGTCTTTGCACAGGGAGGGAAACCGTATTCTCTCCAGTCTATAAATTAGCATTGTTACTGTTCTTAAAGATTTGGCTACCAAAGTTGTTACTCACCTTCATGATGGCTTTCCAGATGGTGTGGAGGTGACCTGTGGGTAAAACCACAAGAATCAAGACCAGTGCTTGTTACTAGTGATCAAACAATGTTTTATATTGTGATTAATGTTTGGAGAAACTGGCGAGGAAAGATGTGGGTCAGAGGAGAGAAGATAAAAACTGGGGCTGATTTTTATAATATTTGACTATTTGCATCGTGGGCAACTGTCTCATTTTTTTTTTATTATTCAAGAGTAATACAGAAATGAGAAAGGCACTGAGCTTAGTTCTTTGCTTCAAAGGGATCAAGAAAGAGAGCAGAAGAGAAAGATGTGAAAGTCAGGTAAACAATATCAGTAAGGGCACATGGTGGTAGTGACGAAGGACACAAGTTGAAGAAAATGGCTAGACTGCTCTCTAAAGCAAAAGGTACATGTCAGAAATCAGGACACTAGAACATGACGGTGACATCAGCTCTTGCTCCTAGCAATCCAGCATCTGGGGATCCATTTTCTTTGGGGGATCCCACAATTTGCATCTCTCATTATGGAAGTCAGAGTGATTTTCATGGAGAGTGCAGGCTAGGCTGTGTAACCAGACTAGAACACAATGTCTCAAAAGAGAACTTTATTTCATTCTTATGTAAGAACAGCTGTCCCACCCATGAGCTTTGACCACTTACTTCTGGCAGGAAGTTCAGGCAAGTGGATTGGTCTTTAAATATACATGACCTTAAAGATGAACCACATGCTTCACACATTTCACTGGCCCTCACCAATCCCTAGCTAGAAGGGAGGCTGAGACATGTAGTCTCTGGTTGAATGGACTCTGCTCATCGAATTCACCAATCCCTAGCTAGAAGGGAGGCTGAGACATGAGACATGTACTCTCTGGTTGAACGGACTCTGCTCATCGAATTCACCAGAAGTGCAGCAGCTTTCAGGGCGGTATGCATAGTATTTCATAGTATCCTTGAAACACAGGATTTATTGGGAAAGCTTATGAGCCAGAGTTCAACAAGAGAAGGCACTCTAAACCCCAGATTCCCATTATTCCCCCAGGAGGCACACAGGGCAGGCTTTTCTGGCAAATGTGCTGTAATACTTCATTCTTATGATTCTCCCTTCTTATAGGGTGATACAACTTTCGCAGTGGAGAACTAAACAGAGCGCATGTTAGAAGGCAAACGTAGCCCTGGCTGGGGTGGCTCAGTTGGTTGAGCCTCCCCCCATGCAGCGAGTGGTCTTTGGTTCAATTCCTGGTCAGGGCACATGCCTGGATTACAGGCTTAATCCCCGGTAGGGGGTGTGCAAGAAGTAGCCCAGATGTTTCTCCTCCCCCTCCCCCCACCTCTCTAAAATCAGTAAGCAGCTTTTGTTTTTTTTTAAAAGGCAGACTATATTTGGGGTGCCCACTTGTTAGAGGAATTGTGCCAGGAAGCCAGTAGCCCAGCTCGTGGAATGTGAGGTTGTGGCGATTTCAGCTCCTTGTGCCACAGGGAGGCTCAGTTTGACTGCACCTCCCCCCAATCACCACTCAAGTGACTGACCAGACAACTGCACGTAGGCTCTTGGGGTCTCATTGGATGATTTTGCTTTTCAGATCGGGCTGTGTTTCCTATTGATTTTATGAATTGTCTGTCCACTCTTCTCTCTCATTCTAGAGGGAATTGGTTTCTGTTGTATACAACCACGACAATTGACTAATAGACTTTGTAACCCAAAGAAATTTAAAACTTAAACAAGCAATTGAATTATATATTTTGGGACTGGATTGGAACCCAAATAAAGTAAGATATTATTATTCCCATTTTATATATTGGGTGTAGAGGCCCAGAGATATTCATTGGTAATTTTACCTAAAACCATTATTAAGTGAAAGTGGTTTAATGCAGACTGCCATGCCTTTAAAAGCACCTGCTACACATGTTCATTTGTAGAGTTAGCTACTACAGGTGACCAATCTATACTTAACATGATACTTTTACTGGTCTGGATATTACTACATATTTCAAATACCTGACATATTGCATTTATAACTACAGATTGAAATTAGATTTAGACAGTTTAAGCCTTCCAGGACAGTAAGAAATTGATCTTATACTGCTCAATCGGCGAATTGTCTATGAGAATACAAGGTCATAATGAATTATCTCGGGCTTAACCATTTTTCTTGCCATGAATTTCCATGCTCTACAAAACAGCAACCTGATATGTATTTACTATTTCATTCAATGTCAATAAAATTAAAAAGAGTAACAGTATCTTATATGTGATAAAGAGATCACCTGCCATAAAAGTTGCAGTTGGTTTTACTTAGTACTCACGCCTTCAGTCTAATGTTCTCTCTTGAAGCTACGTGCATACAGGTAATGAGGTGCCATTTGGGAGCATCTTGCAACTTGTCTGATGAGACACGTGAATGATAGCTCCATCTCCCATGATGGCTTGAAGTATGTCATCACAGCTGAGCATTCACTCTCTTCTTGTTATAATCAAACAGAAATGTTAGCATAACTCAATTCTAGGACAAAAGGCACTGATGATATGGTTGTAACCAATTCTAACAGTTAGTTATTGGATAAAAAACATGAATCAGAAAATAATCAGGTAAACTTTAGCCTCTTCAACTAATCTGCAAATGTGTAAGCACATTCACTGTTTGTACCAACTAATATAAAAGTGTGTTTGTAATGAATTAGTGTAGGAAGATCTAGTTAATACTGTGTAAAAGCAACATTTGAAGGAAAAATAACTGAGAATTCTCCAAAGTGAAAAGGAAGATGAGCCTGTGGGTGAAATGTACATTCTGAATATAATACAGGATTAATAAAGCAAATTCTATACTTAGGCAAATCCAGTACAACTGCAGAATAGACTTATTAAAAGACTTAAAGTTGAGTACCTACGGTTATAAAAATAAAAAGAAGAAAAAAAAGAAGAAAATACAATATATTATTTCTAGAAGGGAGGAGAAAGGTCTACATAAAAAGAAATGTGGTTACATTGAAACCACAAAATAAGATGATAGAAAAAATTCAAGTATATGATTAATTCCAGTAAATGCTAATGGATTAAACCCATATTTTTAAAAAGTGTGTGTTTGCAAGTAACATTAGGAAAAATAATACAGATAAGGGTACTTATAAGTAATTTCTAAAATGAAATACCGTGAATTAAAAATAAAGAGATGCAAAATTGTATACCATGTCAGTACTTTAAAAAAAAAACTTGTGCACCAATATTAATATTAAATCTATTAGAATCTAGGGCAAAAGTGTTAATGCTGATAAAAACCTATAGAGAAGGTATTACAATCATTATTTGTACACACATAGCTTCAAATATAAGATAAAAATTAAGAATTAGATGATAGAATCACACTAGAAACTGGTGGATTAAGCAGTAACATTATTTAACAAAATTAAGTAATAAGATCTAATGGACTCACATAATGATTGTATGCAATAAATAAAAGAATATTTATTATTCTCAAACTAGAGGCCCAATGCATAAAATTCGTGGAAGAGGAGGCCTTCCTTCCCCTGGCTGCCTGCCCCGGCTTCCCTCTGGCACCTGGGACCCGGGCTTTCCTCGCAGACCCGGCTTCGTTCGGAAGGACGTCTGGAAGGACATCCAGTCTAATGAGCATATTATGCTTTTATTATAATAGAAGATATACAGAAAGCCATTGAGGAGGATGTGACCATTGTCTGTCCCAGGAGCTGAACCAGGGACAGAATGGAGGTTGCTCTCTGCAAACCCCTTTAGAGACTATCTGATCATACTTGATGACCATCCTGACAGAAATCAACACCACTCTTTTGCCTCCTGCTGTGTGCTGGTTCCTGGAATAGGTTATTGTCCTGACCTGGGCAAGCACGTAAAGTACTTTCCATACCTGATGGCATTCATGTACTCATAAACATGACTACCACCCCAATGACCCTTTACACAGTATAATTCTCTGGTGCCTGCCCAGCGGTGTGGGGATCCATTTCATCTTGTAGCTGCCCAAGACATGCCCCAGGTGTAAGCTTTCCTTAATAAACTCTATTAATTACCAGACTAGAGTGACTAGATTTTTAGTCTAGGGGCTTTTCCCTGGTTTAAGTGTACTAACATCCATTTTAAAAAACTATTTCAAAGAATGAATCAAAATTAAATATTCTCTCTTAAAAACACAGAACAATTAATTTGTTAATTATCAATGAAAAGATAGTTCAAACATGTATACATTTTGAAAAAGAAAAGCATGCCTAAATAATACAAATGTTTAAGAGATGTCATAATGGCAGTTACAGATTATTTTAAAATAAATAATGGTACGAATAACTCTAAAGTAAGTAAAAGGAAGAATAAAATCAAGACAGAAAATAATTAAATATACAATCAAGAAACAAAAGAAAGGACTAACTAGTTCTTAAAAAGAATGTAATGGGGTGGGGGGTGGTGGGGGGAACTCCTGCTAAACTAATTAAGAAAAAAAAAGGCAGAAGTAGATAACACTGGCAACATAAAGGAGCCATACCAGGTGGAGTAGATGTTTAATGGCATACTGAAAGAAATGTTTTGAATAAATTTGAACTAGCTGACATGGGTCATTTTATAGTAATGCTGCATTACCAGTATTAATTTAAGCTTGGTTAAACTGAGCCACCAAATAAACTGAAAGAGCAATTGAGAATCCCCTCAATGTTAAGAGGAGCCACATTTGATCCACAGGTAAACTAAGTCTATGAAATGGCAGAATAGTTTATACAAGGAAATTAGTAAAATTGGAACATTAGCTTTTGTATCAATAAGTAACATTGATATGTGATAAAGCCATGCAATTTCCCTATACCCATGATTGCCATTTCTTGTATCATTCCCCACTAGAATTCTTAACTCATCGTCCGTCAAGTTCTACAGTACATGTCCCTTCCCACAAAGACTTCCATGTTTCATGTTCTTCACTGTTTACTGTGATCCTGTGACTTTCTTGCATCATGTGTTTGTGGGCATGCACAATCCCCCAGCTGGCCTGCAGCCTGCCTGTGGTACTCCACATGGAGCCCAGCAGGATGTGTGATTGTAACTAATGCTGAGAGGATATGTGGCTACTTATCCTTCCCTATAGAAAGCAGCAGTCATAGCTGTGACCTGACAGAGGGCAAGTGCAAAACAATGTCTGAGCCAAGTCTGTCCATGCTGCAGGCAGCCCCACTTGGCACACTGACATGATCAAGAGCAAACAGGACGAGAGCTTCCCCACGCTGCCTCTGGCTGGCTGTGTGCCCACCTTGCCTCTCTTCACCCACAGCTCAGGTTTCATCCTTCTAAATATAAGGTGTGCTCAGGGGTCCCAGACACTGCACAGTGCCCCAGGGCCTTCTGGGGCAACACAGTTGATCATGGATCACTACAAATTGTTTTAAATTATGCATTTTCTGAGAAAACTTTAGAATCACATTTATTTTAAAAGAATAAATTGGATAAAAGGAATAGGTAAGTGACTATATCATCGCTGTGTTTGTATTTTTTTCTTTTACCTTTAGGTTAGGTTTATTTCAGACAAAATTAGTTGTGGGCCTTGCTTGTAGTTGGATGCAAACTTTTCTCTTACTTTTCCAAATAAATACCTGCATTGATTACATTTTTTATTATTACAGTATATTTAATTATAATTTTGTGTGAACTTTCCATTTTTTTAATCAGATATTTATCACATGGTATTAAATTAAGTTGTTTTGCAAAAAATATTCATGTGGAAAAGAAAAAAGA